GGAAGAAGCTACTACTAGGGAGGCTATATAAGGCCTATAATAAAGGTATAAGATAACTAAGCTTAAGGAGCTAAAGTAGTTCTTAAGGATATAAATCCTTTAGAATAGGTCCTAACGGACTATCTAGCTTACCTAAGACGCCTATATCGATAAGGTCGCTTATAAATTCCTCCTTAATTCCCTCGATAAGAAGCTTCCCTCTATGCCTATATTAAACGAAGAGCTTTTACCTAATCCGTCTTTTTAAGCTAGGGAGCAAGAGAAACACTAATATTAATAGAAGGTAGGCTCCCTACTTTTTTTAGCTATTTCTACTAGACCGGATATCTCCTTTACGGTCTTACGGCTAGCTAAGCATAACTAGAATCTTAGCCCTAGGCATTAAGAAGCAGCAGATAGAGCTATCCTTTATTTCTATTTAACGAGATTATATAGTCTACGCCTAGGAGGGTAGAAACGAAAGAAATTAGCTGCCGAAATCTTCCTCTATTCGAGCGATTCGTCCTTTACAGATAATTTATTAGATAGAAAGAGCTTATAGGGGTATAATATATCCCTTTTTAGAGGAACTATTACTTAGAGAGCTTCGAAGTAAGCTACTATTACGACTTCTAGTACGGAGGCAGAGCTACTAGCTTTTTTAGAAGCGTTAAAAGAAGCGATTTTCCTTAGCCGGCTACTAATATCTCTATAACTATAAATTCCGTCCCTATTAGCTATAAAATACGATAATATATAGACTATACGAATTCTTACGGAGGAAAATAGTAAGCTATCGACCTAGCTATAGTATATCGATATCTACTAGTATTAGTTACGCTAAGAGGTCTAAAGGGGACTTATTTCCGTTCGTTAGGTTCTAACGGCATCGATAAAAGCTAACGGTCTTACGAAGCCCCTACTAAAGTAGAAGCTAGCTGTCTTTTTATAGTAAATTAGGCTAGAAGACGTTTAAGAGAAGTTATCCTTAGAAGCCCGCCTTAAGAGTCTACGAGAGGAGCTAATAGCACGTAGGAGGAAGGAGACGTCTATAGCTAAAGAGAGGAATTAGGACTTATCGTGAGGAGGGCTAAGCAATTAGGACTTATTCTTCCTAAAGGCCCCTTTAAGGACTTATCCAGAGAAGCCCCCTTTCTTATAGGACTTAATTTCCTCCTTAGGCCCCTTTTCCAAAGTAGGTCTAAAAGAGCCGGGGCTAAAACCCGGATTTCTCGAGTAGGGGATAAGTATAGACTAAGACCTCCTCTATACGCTTACCGGCCTAGGTATTTAGCTTTACCCTTTCTATAAGGGCAGGCTATAGCTAAGGGGGTGTGTCGCGAAGCGTAGCCTAATTTCGTAGTTCTCGGAGATATCCCTTAGTATAAGGGACCTAGGAAGTTAAAAAATAGGTTTTAAGGAAGGAGCTAAAAGGAGGTATAGAGAGGAGGGTAGGGGTAAGAGGGGAAGTAAAAGTAGCGATAGCTTTTAATAGAGGTAGCGAGAGATAAGACGGATATGCCGGCAACGGCTAGAAAAGAGGGGAAAACCCGGCAAAAAGCTCGGTAGTAGAAAGGATATTAGTAGCTTCTTTAAGTAGGATCTTCTTTATTAATTAAGATGCTAAATAGATATAAAGAGGGGCGTTAGATAGAGGAAAGAAGGATAATTAAGGCAATATAATAATTACTCCCCTACTATAATTGCTGCTCCCGTAAGAATTAAATCTCTCTGCCTTGCCTATCCGACCCCTTACTTTTAATTTTACCTTCGTGTATTTTTATATACTTCTTATATCTCTCTTCGCGAGAATATAATACCTTTAATTTCTATATCTTTTATAATACTTAAGGCGCCCTTTACTTACTTTTAAGCGATCTTTTTTATTAATCCTTATATCTCTTATATAAGCGCCTTATTAACTATAGTATAATACTAATAGCCCTTATTTATAAAAGCAGCGATAGGTAAGGAGTTATTAATTATAACTTATATTAAAGTAAGCTCTTATTTTATATAAGCGGATAATTCCCTTTTTTCCTTTACTAGTATTAGTAATTAAAGCTTTAGTGCCTATCTTTACTTTAAAGCTACTCTTTTTCCTTTAGGCCTAAGGGTATAAAATCCTCTTTATCGTTTAAAGTAAGGAGCGGTTTTATCTTCGCTACTTAAACTATTATAGGCCGCTTAGCTAAAAAGAAAGATTATTTTAATATAAAGTATATAAACGCGCTATAATATAGGTAGCGGCTATTAACCTTCCTTTTCTTAATTTCCTTACTTATTACTTACTTCGCTTACTACTTAAAGTATAAGATAGTATAAGGGATATTTAATAATAACTTCCTATTATATTTAACTTAGTTTATATAAGTAGCCGATATTAAAGTATCTTTATTAGTATCGATAGTTAGCTATTCTCTTTATAAAAGGGCGGTAATTATATTACTATTATATAGTATACGCTTACTAAGCTTTTAAAAACGTAGCGTTTACTTATAGCCTTATATTACCTTTATTAACTAGCTTATATACTTACTATAGTTAATAGGTATAATTATAAGTATAATTAGCTCTTATAAAGCTAGCGTAATTAAGTTTTATAACTATATAAGCTTCGTACTATCTTACTATACTATAGTTCCTACTATCTATAAGAGCGTCTTTTTAAAGTTAAGGAGGAATTCGCTAAAGGTCTACTTATCCCTTTACCTAAGAGTCTATAGCCTATCTTATACCTTCTCCTACTCCTATATATTACTAAACGTATATATAAGGTATTAAAAGAAGTCCTATAAGTCGCGTTTACCCTTAAGGTCGCCTTTATCTTAAAATCTAAAGATCTACTATATCTAGGGCTCTAGTAGTATATAAAAGAGTAAATACTACGCTATATTATAATAGCTATTTAGGCCCTATTTCTTATTTATTATAAACTTTATCTATAGCTAGGTAGGGAAGAAGTAAAAGGACTTAAGCTTATTATCTTAAGTTAGCTAAGGAAGTAGCTTCTATATTAATAGTACCGCTACTATAACTAGCGTTATAAAGGTTATAAGGGTTAACGCTAGTCTTATAAATAGCTCCCTTAATATAGTAAGAACCTTATTCTTCTTACTAGCCGTCGCGCTTTTAATTACTTCTAGGATAGCTATAATACTTCCTATCCGCTTAAGGGGTAGCGGGGTACTCCTTTAAGGAAATATCTATTAGATCTATTAATTAATAGCTTATACTATTATAGAGTAAGTAGAGGTATATATATAGGTACTATCTATAAGATAATATTAATAAGCTATATAAAGCTTTTTTATATATAGCTAGCCTATATATATATATAAGATCCGGCCCTTTATATATAACTATATAGCTTTAGCTATAGCCTAAGCCTATAACCTATAGGAGTTAAAGACTCTTATAATAAACCGTACCTAAGCTTATACCTCGACCTACTTTATAATAAGTACTAGTTATTATACTAAGTTAGTATATTCTTAAATCTTATAAGTCTAGGCCTATAATTTAACTCCTTTAACTTAGAAGGTTTAATTAAGGCTCTCCCTTAGCCTTATAATATAATTATTCCTTCTTACTTCCTTTAAAGATATCTTAGGAAAGTAAGGGGTCTAGCTTAATATTATAAGCTAGGCTATACTATATACGCCCGGGCTATAATTATATAACCGACTATTAATAGGTATAGTTAATTAACTAATTAGCTAGGTAGCTTAGTAAATTTATCTTCTTTTACCTTACTATTAATATAATATAGTAGTATTAAATAGCTGCCCTATAGTAATAAATAGTAGTATAACTACTACTTTAACCCTTATAGGGCCGACCTATTATACTTAATAAGTAATTTCCTTTTTAAGGGATATATAATTTATATATTTCTAGTAGTGCCTCTTAGTATAGCTATATTCTTTACCTTAATACTATAGTTTAAGCGTTATAATAGCGTTAATAGCTTATAAATAGCTTTAAAGGTAATATCGGCGGGCTAAAGATAACCTAGTTATAACTATAAATAAAAGAGGGATAAGGTAATTAATTAATACTAGCTAAAGGAAAGGGGGGAAATGCCCCTTATATAACTAGCTAAAGGGGGAAAGGGGATATATAAGCTAGATATTATACGGCTAGGTATTTTAATAGTAGCTGCGGCATATACCTAAAGACACACCCACGCCAACGGCAATAGCAGCAGTCAGATACCGAAGGACGAGGGGGTCTAAGGGGAACGAAGGAAAAGAGAAAGCACTAAGCAGGGTAAGGCAAAGGCAAAGAGGGCTAAAAAGGTATATTAGCGGAGAAAAGATATAGAAGAAGATGATGCTGATACTGTCTGCTAGCTAAGGAGGAAAAGAGACCTCTTTTATACACCGAATTTTCCCTCCTTCTTCCCTAGACGAACAGGGGCCAAGGGATCCTCTAATTAAGAAGAGGGCTAGCCAGAGACTCTGCCAAGGATCCTGCCAAGGACCCTGCCAAGGACCCTGCCAAAGACTCTGCTGCGCGGGCTATGTGTTCCTTAGGGTATAGATGCCCCCGTCAAAGTATATATATAGGTAAGTAATTTAGAGAGCTATAGCGATATCCTTCCTTCTTATATTAGTTATATAGACCGGGCTTATAACTCTTTAGTAGAGGCATAAGAGTATAGTAAGAAAAATAGGGGTATAGAAAGGTAAATTTAGTAATATATACTAAGGGTAGGGCTTATATAGGTATAGTAACTATAAATAGCTAGCTAAAAGAGGGTATTAAGATATTCCTATACCTATATTAGGCCTATATTATATCCTTAAGCTAGGGGAGTTATATTGCATAGGCAGGCTCCCTTATATACGACTATTAGGTCTACTAGGCATGACTGTGGCCTCTTATGCCCGCCCTCCTCAACAGTACCTCAATGTATACCCCACGACCAAGGCGACACCTTGTGCCAATGCCCAATATTATCTCGAGATAATGTCCAATCAGCAGCCAAGGCCCAAGACCTGTTGCATCTTCGAATGCTAGACGACATCGAGGGTGGTTCTCAGGGCACCGTACTGTCCACGAATGGCGCCGACATCGACGATACCCTAGCGCGGTCTGTTCGAACGATTCACAAAAGGCTCGGAACACTGTCATTTTGGCGTTGTAGGCATTCTTTTGCTCAACGGCGAGCTTGTTCGCAGCTTCAACGATAGAGACCGGGAAGAGGTTGGCGGACTCGGCGGAGCCGGGCCGGTTCGAGGCGGACTCACGCTGCGCTCCTTCCGTAGCGGCGGTATTAGAGAGTCTGTTAAGGGGCGAGGGCGGCGTCACCGCCGGTCGCCGGAACGCGGAGGTGAGACCAATGGGACGGTTCGCAATGGGGGAGCTGTGTCGAAGCTGAGATGCAGGGGCTAATCGAGCGTTAGGCGGGGTATGGACACCCAGATCAAAGGGATCTGAGCTGGCATGAGAGCTCGTGGCAGATGCCATGGCCGCTAAGCGCGGCTGTATGATGAACGTGCAGTTGTTAGGGAAATTGGTGGGAAATTACGCTACTTTCTTAACAATTGCATGCCAACAAAGTACGAAAATAAGGGAAGGTTGTACTGAAACCGTAGATCACGTAGCGTTGTGGCCCTATAGGGGGATCCCTCCGGGCGTAGTACAAATAATAATCTTCCCTGGCACCTTGGCTCTGCCCCGTGATATCAGTGACTAGCGTAATAAGGGTTCACTAGAATAGGGTGAATCAATTTTGACTCAGCTCCATTCTAAGTAGTAAATGAAACATAGACCTGCACATAGCAAGCTTCTCTAGCTCTGACTCGAGCTGGAATGCATATCAGCTCCATGTAGCTGAAAGCTGTCTTTATGTCTGTTTTACCTACTAAACCATCTCCTTTTACCAAAGTATATATAAGCTCCAGTTCCACCACGCGGACACGCTCGCTATCCATCAACCACATCGTCGTGAGTCGCGCAGAGCCTTAACCCAACTCTACCCATCTTTCGCTTCTTCCTCAATTTCTCCCATCTTCTCCCAGATCTAGCGCTCCCAAAATGAAAGCCTTGATTTCCGTGGCCACTCTCTTCGTGGGACTCGGATCCGCGCGCGTTCTCCTGGTTGATGAGTTTGCTACCAGTCTTTCCCGAATCCACGGGTCCGCGGGCCATCACGCCGGAAAGCAACAGTCTAAAAAGTGCGGACCTGGTAAAAGGCTTGAACCTAATGTTTTTAACGTAAGTGCAAGCCCCTATGCCGTTAATACTATGCTTATCTGGATGGGACGTGTAGCCACGCGGCCCGCACGTCTGTATCCCTAATGGAGCCGTACAATGAGATTACAGGAAAACGGGCCCGGAATGTGTCACTGTCGGTGCACTGGGAGAAGTAATGAGAATAATAATCGTTAGGCGGAGAGGAAGATTACGCGGCTGAATGGTAATCTCGCGTGCAACGTTCACACATACCACAGCGCCCTGTACAAACATCTAACCCTCGAAAAGTAGAATTCAGTCAATTCTCCATCTGCTCCAAGTGACGGCATGAGACGCGTCGCGCCTTTACTAAAAGATTATAAAGTAAAGTTAGAAATAGAAATAGTGTCAAAGCGGCACCTCTTCCCCCCCTTATGAGCGTCCTCCCTAGCCCAGAAGCAGCAAGCCTGGAGACTCTTCCCTCTTCACCAAACGTCGGCCTACTACAAGCGGTGAAAGTGCCTAACCGGCGGTGGTGAGGTGCCGCCCTTGGCCAAACGCCGATACTTGCTAAGCTCAGGATCTGGTGAGCGCCGCACTCAAGCCGCATCGATGTCCTATAATAAAACAACGCTCTTATGTTGAAGCTTGGCGAAGAGGCCCTTGAGCTTTTAGTTATTCATACTGGAGATATTGACGACGTAGATGTCGAGATCGAATTCGCTAGCCACAGACAAACTGAAGCTCGATTTCCCTGTCCCTGGCGGACCGTAAAACAGATACCACTTTCGATAAGGAAGAGTGCGCTTAGCAAACTAGTGTCTGGTTTCCGGATCGAGAAAGGCCTTCACATCGTCAACCAATTGCCGCTTCCACGTCTCACTCACGACGAGCGTCGATAGTAGCCTAATAGCTGTCGTCGCTACCTTCTTCTAGCGATCGCCCCGATTCTCGAATATAGTAGTCTTATTATTAATCTAATTTAAGTATTTTTATCGACACTCTTTAAGAACGTCTTTAAGTAGGTATACCGACTAACTAATATAAGTAATTAAGATTTCCTCCTCTCTATATAGTCTAGAACCTTTTACTTTATATATATATATTAAGAAATAATATTATATCTTATTAGCTAAGCTTTTAAAACTAAGCTTAAAATATAAAAAAGTATATATATACTACGCCCTCCTAAGTATAGCCTTAGAAAGGAAGCTTAATATTATATTATTTTACCTAACTTTTTAAAACTAAGCCTAAAATATAAAAAAGGTATATACTTAGAACCCTTATAAATAGCGTATTATACCCCCCTAAGTATAGCCTCGCGTAGCTAATAGCGGGTACGTAATATACTACTAAAGTTTACGATATAGGCTAGGTTTTCCCCTATATAGGTAGAAACCCTTTCCCCGCCCTCGCTAACTAAGGGTATATACCCCCTGCTAATAAAACTTAGCCTAGACCCGACCTAGGACCCTAGCCTAGGCCTAAGGCAGGCCCCTTTAACCCCCCCCCCCTTTAACCTAGGGGCCGAAATAAGTACCTTAAAGGCTAGGGCCCGCTAAAGGGAAGCTTTAAAAGGCTAACGCCCTCTAAAGACCTTAAAAGAAAGGCCTAAAGCTTAAGACTAAGACTAAAACTAAGAGGATATTAAGATAAAAGATTAATAAAATAAGCTTAAAGCTTACTTAGACTATTAGCCCGATCTAGCTTAGCGGGCCTAAGACTAGCCTTTTTAGGCCTAGCTTAGCCCTGCCTTAAGCTAGCTACTTCTAGCTAAACTAGCCTCTTAAGTAAGTAAAAGGGTAAAAGAAAGCTACTTTTAATAGCCTTATTAGCCCTATACTTATCCGACCTATACTTTAATACCTATAGTAGTAGTAGCCCTAGCCTAAGCCCTAGTACCCCTTCTTTAAGGACCGGGCCTAGGGCTTTATTTAGTAGGCCCTCCTAAGCCCTTAAGGAAGCCTAAAAAATTAAACCCTTTTATAAGACCCTTATAAAAGGGCTTAAAAAGGTAGCTATAAAGACCTTAAACCGCTAATAGCCTTTATAATAGCCCCTATAGTAGCCTAAGGCCGCTTAGTAGCTTAAGGCTACTTAAGGAAGCCTCGAAGCTAGCTTATAGGCTAAGGTTACTATAAAGAAAGCGGTTAAGGCCTTAGCTAAAGAGGAATATAAAAGAGGACTTCTAGCTTATCTTAAGGCTAAAGAAAGGATTACTAACGCTTACTATTAGCCTTATTACTCTTTATAATAAGCTTAATAAAGCTATAAGGAAACTAGCTATATTAGCCCTACTAACTTTAAATAAAAGTAATATAGTTATAATAATAAAGGACTCTTATATAGTAAAGAAGCTTTTAAAGTAGTAGGATAAGTAGTCCTTATACCTTAAAAAGCTACCTATTAAATTTACTAACCTTCTTACTAGCTAAACTAAGCTAGTAGCTTAGAATATCCTTAACCTTTTAAAGACCCTTATCTTTAATATCTTTATAATAAAGGCTAAGACCTTTAGTAGGATCGATATCTTAGGGCAGCTTAGGTAGCTAAGTACCCTAGGCCCGACTTAAAAGGTAGGATCTATTATTTTTATAATTTATTTAAAGGCTAAAGGGCTAAATACTAAGTAAAAGGCCCCTTTATATAGTAGGTCTATAGCTTTAGGTCAAAGCCTATAAGGAACTTACTATATATACATTATACTATAAGTGCCTTTCCTTTAGCTATAACCCTTAGACCTATTAATATCGCGAAGACTATTACGCTACGTAAGTAAAAGTAGAACGCGCTCCGATAGGTGCGCTGCAAATAATATATATCTAGCAACCGCGTCTTCCGACACACCCCCTTAGGGATCGCGGCTCCGCCGGGAGCCCTAGTCCGTAGCCTAAGACGCGGGAGTCGAACACTAAGCGCCGCGCTAATAACCTAAGGAAATCTAAGAGAGGTAGTTGCCTACGGGGGATTAAACCCCGCACCGCGCGCAGTTACTAGAAGTTATAGGGGTGGTATGCTATCCCCTCCTAGGCTTATAACTATCGCGAAGACTATTGCGCTACGTAGGCAAAAGTAGAACGCGCTCTAATAAGTGCGCTATAAATAATATATATCTAGTAACCGCGTCTTCCGATAATTAATAGCTTATAAAGTATACTATTTACTTAGAAAAGTACTTAACTAAGAATTATAGCTACCTTAGCTATAAGGAATTTACTATATATATATTATACTATAAGTGCCTTTCCTTTAACTATAACCCTTAGACCTATTAGTAGCTTATTAAGTATACTATTTACTTAGAAAAGTACTTAACTAAGGATTATAGCTACCTTAGCTATAAAGCTAGCTAAAGCTACTCTTACTTTAAGGTTTAATATTATAACTATAAAAGAGAGTATATTATAACTAATAAGGTATAGTATAGAGTTTATAAAAGTATAATTAATACTTTATAGGCTTAGCCCCTTTATACTTATAAGACCCCTTAAGCTTCTTAGGCCCCTTAAGTGTGACGACCGGTGATATTCCCAAGGGATAAACCTGTCGAGGGGTTTATGTTGGCAGATACAACAGGGCGTGGTCTGAGCAATGATAAGTATGTCACGTTGGTGATGAGTCGGAGGTCGTAGACCGTAGACTGTAACCAGGTAATCAAGTGATCGGAATCAGAGATGAGATCGTGATAGGGATCGTAATGATTGTGTTGAAAGCTAAAGAGCTATCTAGTCTAAAGGAGTGAAATGGGGCAGCTATATATACCCAACTGCCCGTCTCTGATCGCGAGGTGCTGGAGGTGATCACAGAGGTGATCACCTTGATCGATGAACGATCCGTCGAGCACCGCTCGCTTGATCGTAAGGCGATCCACCGATCACCTTTCGCATGGTCACGTGATCCTTCAGCGGTTAGTCATCCCTGGCCCGTGTCATGGCCATCCGTTGGTCGGGTCGTAACATCCGTTGGTCGGGTCGTAACATTAAGCTTAACTATAACCTTATTAGTATTATATAGTTTAATACTAATAAGTAGGAAATAGCTAACCTATTAATTTTAAAGTAAGCCTTAAAAATAAAAGTAGACCTTCTCTTATTAAATAAGCCTTACTTTTATAAGATTAATAATAGCTATATCTTTATTTAGTATCTAGCTTATAACGTTATAACCCTTATTACTTTTCTTAACTTTCTTATACTTATTAAGAGGACTAAGGTTATAGCTTATAAGAGGAAGGAAGCTTAAATAAAAGCTAGCTATAGCTTTAACCTTTTTTATAATTTTAATATATA